CTGCCAAGGACAATGAAACTCGCACACAAACCCTTGACAACAAATAACAAATGTGTGCAAATGTGCAGCTGAAAGTGAGTGAACATCAACTTGACTCTGCATTCATGTTCTCTGCCACTGACCTCTGCCTCTTTGACCTATGACCCCCGAGTACCAGCTTCCTGTGTTTAATCACAATACAGAGAACTCAGAGGAAACTATTTTAAGAAGGTTTTCCCTCTCTCTCCCTCTCAGTCTTCACTTGTCGTCTCCGCCATGTTATGAAGAATAATTTAACGTCAGGCTTTGAGGTTAAGGGATGTTTTATTTTTCCAACAGAGTGAAGATACTTACTGTGGTGTTTCAACACATGAGCTACAGTAAGTTTGTGCTAAAAACTACCATGTGGTTCCAATAGAGACCAAACAGGCAGGGACTGCTGTGTAGAATTTACTATAAAATGCATTAAAAATAAGTTTTCAAGATGCTCTATAAGCTTGACAACTGTAGAATACAACTGTTATTATATACATATGAAGAAGATGTGCACTGATCAAGCAGCCAACAATTACTGTAAACTGAAAGTTTTTCTTATTGAGTGACTCAACACATGCTGCAGAAAGCCTGAGCCAACTCCGCGGCAGACAGCAGACGGTCAGTAGTGGGAGCATGACGCCCATCTGTTCGAGACAGTTTTATCTCTAACATTGTGTTTTCAGTTTGCACAAAGCCTATGATCATAGATTAGACAGCAAATGCTATATTATGAAGCCATAAAAACAGTCTGTTGAACACAAAGCTCTAGGAACTTTAAGTGCATTTAATCAATCACTCTCTTTACTTTATCCTTAACCATTACTTACTCTTACTTATTCTCTTTTATATGTAGCCAGCAGCTTAACGCAACATGTATGTTGTAGTCCAACTAGGGCTAATTATCGTGATATTAATGTGGCTATTTTCCAATGTCAATACAACACAAATTAGTAATTGTAAGCAAAATCAAACATAAAAAAAACTGAAGCAAAGACTTGTGTTCCACTTAGTTGAGTATTTGCAATTTATGGCTTTTATACTTCTACTCTGCTACATTTCAAAGGGAAATATTGTACTTGTTACTTCACTACATTTATTTACAACTACAGTTACTAGTTACTTTGATTTTACATACAAACCACGTGATCAACGTATAAAATATGATTCATTATTATAGATTAAAAGGTCCTGCATAAACACAGAGGTGTTGACATGATTTTACACCATGGTAGTTTTGGGTTCAGTATGTTCTCTGTGCGTACACACGTTATAATAATTTTACTTCATTTTATTCAGAGTTTACTGTCGGCCTCAGGAAACGTCAACTTTCTGTGTGAAGACAAACAGCCATGTGATTGTGACAGTAGCAGAGTTACTCAACCGGCCGCCTGCATTCCACCTAAACAGGTTTCTGTGTACGCACCATTAATGCTCTCAGGAAGATTAAGGATTTATCAACACAATCATTCCCCCTGACGTTGAACAAATCTCATTGGTTCATTAAAACACAGGTGGGCGGAGCCATAGTGCAAGAGTTTTGCTAGCTAAGGGACTAGCAACACGTAAAATATTAAATGATTTTTTTTATTACAAGTCTGGCCATGATGCTCGTATGTTTATATTCTGGTACAAAACACACACAGGCACGATGCCGTTACGTTAGGACAGGTGTTAGCTTTATGTTAAAGAATATTCTTAGGGGTCTTAATTGATGTAACAGGGAAAGGTAAGACAGGTCTAGAGGAGTCATTAGCTGACCCCAAAAGTGTTCACGGACCTTGTTAAGAAGACAACAGTTAAACTGATAAGGAAGAGACAGTAGCTCAGGTGTCAGGCTAGAAGATATCAGTGTTTTCTGGGAATTTTACAAGGTTGAGTCTTACATGAATGTTTACAAGAACTTCCTGGCTCCACAGATTAGAGTACAACTGATGGACAGTAATAGATTTCAATATGACAAAGCATTGGAGTCTTAACATCAGATAGATTTGTTATTCTAGGTTAAGGCCTGTTAAAGATGACCTAAGAGGGAAACCTACAGGCATTAGAGGGAAGACAGAAACATAAAAGGGACCAAAAGATGTTATCCTTCAGATTTGGTGTTGGCATTTGATGTGTTCACATGTTGTTTGCTTGCGCTGTATCTCCTCAGCCAAGTTTTCATCAGACCCCGAAACTTCTTCATCACACCTGAACCTGGCTCACGATAACTCTTCGACACTTCCGTCATTGAGAGAAAAAGTTACGACTTCACATACATGACTTTTGGGTTTGTGGTCTTTCTAATTACATCTTTTCACAATTTTACAACAAACTACAATTGCTTTGGTAATTCAGGGCATCAACACACTAGTGGTCTCTCGCCGTTAACTACTGTACGTATTTTTTCTGAAATAAAGCCCTGCGGTGGTCCACCAGAAGGGGAGAAACTTAGGTTCTTGAAACCTCTCTCCTCAGGCTCCTCTCATGCATGTATATCGCCACTGGTCGGAGGATGTAAGGTAAAGTAAATCATTCAATCATTAATATCTCAGTATGTTGATGGCCTTTTCTCTTCCCTTGGCATCTTCTGTGCATCATTTCATTCTATAAAGAACTATTGAAAGGGGGAAAAGCTCTCCAAGCTAGCAAGCTTGCTCACTGTCAGTAACCAAGCTTGGTCACTAATGGGACTAATCAAAAGACACATCAATATTAAAGACAGGAACCGACAGAATTACCTGCAACCCTGCCCACATCATTAGCAGCCCCATCTGGGTTTCGCTACAACATATGAGTCACCTTTCATCTTGCCAAATCTGGTCTGACTACACCTCCAGATCAGAGTGAAGTCCAGTTAAAAAACAAACAGATAAGAGAAGAAGAAGTCAATATCAGGAATCCCAGAGCTCTGCGACCAAATGCAAAATCTTGTTTATCAGAACCAAGCAAGATCCAAAATACCTAATAAACCTGCTGACCTTCCAAGATTGTGAATGTCTTATGAATACATTAATAAAAAAGGAGGTCATTGCCCTTTCATTCCTATTTGTAAAAACTGCCAAGAACTCTGTGCCTCATTTCCAAGTCAGAAAATAATGTAAAAAACACTTCACAGTTTGTCCCTAAGGCTATTCAACATAAAGTTCAGCCACTCACCAACTAACTTCAGTCAGTCCACAAAATAGTGATGGATAGTGTATGTATTGTGCTGTGTGTGGCGGCATTTGTCTTTTACTGAAATCGCCTGGCTTCTAGCTAAACATAAAAAAAATAAATAAAAAGGATTTACTGAAGAGCTAATTCAAAACAAAGCGGAAGCATTTCAACAATGGTTTGCTTTAAGAACACATTAGAACTGCTATTTCCTTGAAAACATTAATTGAACAAGCAGCAGCAATGAGCTTTAGGACACATTTTCATTACTGGTATTGATGCTGGAAGCCTGGGTCTGCTGTTTGCTGCTAGGTTTGTGTTTTAAAGGACATTTTTGATATATTTCTTCCTAGAGAGTCTGTCGCCATGCCATGCACCTAAAATTGTAATAAGTGCAAATGTTCAATAAATGCAATAACTCCAAAACAAATGCACATCCATACTCCCCCCCCACAATGGTGATAGCAGAAAATTAAACATGACAATGAACTGTTCAAGCAGCCTTGAAACAGCATGCTTGAGTGATCGGAGCATCATATTAGCCATAACATTAAACAACCTGAGCTTAAACAGAGCGGTGCCGCTGTAGCTATAATGGTTTTATGGCTTCAGAGCTTAAAGGTGCAGTGCTGAAGCTATTCTAATCCATTAACTGACACCATGGGCAATTACCTTTCCATCATGCACAGCGATGCTTGGAAGCAGATGGCCACAGCACAGTATTTTCAAAAGATTCACTATGTGAGGGGGTTAATGTGTTTAAATGACCTTTGGAGCCAAATATGTGACTAAGCACAATCATTATCTGGCTGCTGCTGTAATGGTTTGAGCACTTCTGATCAATAGTGTCATCAAAAATAACATCTGTTTCCACCACAATTCACTAAAAGTATACAGTTTTAAGAATATATATCTGACAGTTCTTCAGAGCTTTAACATCTTTACTGCTAATTATCCTCCCTGGAATTGGTATAGATTTAATGAGGAGAATCGATAATAGATAATGGTCTTTGTTCAGCTGTTTGAAGTGCCAGAATGTGAAGTTAACACTGGAAGAAGTTAGCCCAGTCTGGAGTACTTTATTGGAGCCGTGTCACCCGCTCAACAGGATCAGCCCACTCACTGAGGCTCCAGATGTTCTGTGCATTGATTTGTCCCAACACATTCCGTTGTCTCCCTTATGCATAGACCATCACGCCAGACTCTGTTTGGAAATGTGGAAATTAATTATTACCTTACCCATAAGCAAACACTAGTACACCCAAAACAGGTTCAAGCTCCTGTGAGGAACCACTTACAGCCCAGCCTTCATTTCGGGTTTAAAATACAAAACGTCGCGCAACACTTTTTTAAAATAAACGTCATTCCGCTTTTAAATGCACCCGCCACCTAAACGCCACAATGTCTTCCACTACGCAGCTTGTTACATTAACAGTTCAGGGACTTGCAGAAAAAATCCATTCCAAAAGTTTCTCAAAATAACGCGCTACTTGGTTGAAAAGTTGCAGGCCGAATATCCAATACTTCAATTATATTTGTAAAACATGGCAAATGCTGTCCCCATGGTGCGTTTTACATTCGCCAACAATCAATAAATAATTAAATTTGAAGTTTTGTGAGCGGAGTTCGGCATGACGTTCTCTGAACATGGGAAAAGGGAACGAAGCGCTTTGATAAGAAATCACAAGTGCCTGCCTTACAAACCTTTAAACCCCCTAAAGCCTTTCCTGTTGTGAGAGTCTTTGGAGACTGGTGCTGTAGAGGAATAGCCTAGGTTTATTGTGAAAACAGCTAAATTTATATTCATGGCAGCGGCGGTATAAAGTATCGAACAGGCAAATGCTGCTTACCTCTGGATTTGCAGCTGATATCCCTCTCACTGTACAGCCGTGGTGTCTGTCTGTATTCCGCAAAAGGTATCAAAAGTTAGAAAATAAACGGTCCTTCAAAAAAAGTTCCCAAATTTACATCCTGATTTTGAGGAAACTGCTCTGGAAGAGTCAAACTGGAGCGAAATGAACGTCTAGCTGAGCTGCGCAGCTGCTTCAGTCACTGCTGAAGTTTACTTCAACAATATTCCCACGACAAACAAGTAGACAGGCTGCTTTCTTCGTCCTTCCCACGCCCAGGAAACCGGTAAACTACATGCCCAGCTCAGGTGTAATTCATGTCTTCACCAACACACACACACAAGCAGTTTTTAATGGCAGGAGTGTGCGTTTTCTGTTTCCACTGCTGCGCACACATTCAGCCGGATCTTCAGCCAGGAGCTCTGCTGCAAGGCGCGATACGGAAAACTGAGGAATATCAGGATGAGGGCTTTTTTTTCTCCTTCTTCTTCCTCCTCCTCCTCCTCCTCCCAATACGAAACCCCCAATGCCCATAGGTTTATACAAGTCAGTCAAGTCAGCGAGAAGTTGCCTCATTAATACCAGAAGCATGGTTTGTTTTCCTTTCAAAGTAAAAGCATCTTCCTTAATGGTGGAGAATGCACAAGTGCAAGAACCAGAAAAAACAGTGTCAGGTGGATGAAAATCTATCTATCTATCTATCTATCTATCTATCTATCTATCTATCTATCTATCTATCAAAATGATTAATCCTCTGTATGGTGACTGAATGGCAAGCAACTTTGGTTTGGAGTCGTGAGTTTATAGGCTGCAAAGACTCAGTGGATATTTGCTCTGGATGGCACAAATTAAGGCAAAGAGAATGTTTCAATTGGAGTTAAAAAAAACAAACAAAAGGTTGAGTCATCCCAAAGCTTTGTGACTCTATTGCATGCATGTACAGAGATGAGAGGAAAAGTCTGGAGAAAAATAATAAAAGAAAATTTCCAGATAAGTTTCAAGACTAGTCAGTTATACGTTTCCAGCTAACATCTGTACAGTCTGGTACATTGGCTGTTTGGGGAAAATAAAAATGGACCACCCAGTCAAATTTGCATGACTGATATAAGGACAAAAACTTGCAATGCAACATCAAAACAGAGATGAAAAGGGTAAAGAAAAATGTGTGGTTTTGGTGAGAAAACATATGAAATCAATAAATCCTTGGAGATAAAATTTCCATTAGTTGTTATTCCTGAAGTTTTAAAATTATAAGTTGGCAGTAGCCTCATGCTTTGTGCAAACTTTACATAATTTCTGGAACAGTTTAATTCACTTTAATTCACAGAGTTAATTTGGCTCCATAAAACTACACATATAAAAAATGTTTTTATTTTATTCAATATTTCTCAAGAAACATTAATATAAAACATAATATTACAAGTCTGGTCCAGAAAAAAAGAAAAAGAAAAAAAAAGATGAGAAAGTGAAAGATGCACCAGATGAGGTGATTTTATTTTGAAAATTTTATCAGGAAGTCTTGCTCTGTATTTTTCTGACTTGACAATGGGACCTTAAACTCGGTCCCATGGGTTTAAATTTTAGGTTTAAATTGAAGGAACATTTTTTAAAAAGCCAACCATGCCTTTAAAAACAATGGGAAATAAAAGGACATGTTCACAGCTTAACATCACTAATAAAGTCCTGCCTTTAACCAAGAAACAAGCCAAAAAATATACCTCAAACATTCAGATTTTTTCTGACAGATGTGCTGCAGTCTAATCCATGCTTTTAAATAGATTATAGACAGTTCAGTTTACATCCATAATAATCTATTTAGATTCCCCAGAGATATCAATTGGATTTACTTTTCATTTAATCTATACATTTCATTTTATTCTTTCTATTTTTTTTTTTTCCTCAACATTTGAAATGGAAACAATCTGAGTAGGGCCTAAATCTTCAGAGAGGTCTGGGAGAGTGGTTGCGCTGTCAAGCCCAGTTAAGCGTGCAGTCGCCCCCGCTGCTAATTCGAGGGCTTGATGGGGCACAATGGAGGCTTTGTTGATGGAGAATTTGTCTGAGAAGTAATCCTTGACACTGGGCCATTCAGGGGCCTAACCTTTTGTTTCATAAGTCTCCTGAATGTTACAGTAGGCACCAGTGCATTAGAACAACCTAAAGTAGTGAAAGTCGCCTGGTATGGCAGGAATGGTCAAGGGTCATGAGCAAGGCATGAAGTTGAAGACTTGACACACATTTTCATATATACTGTATATACTAGAGCAATATGTATTTACTTACAAAATGACATTGAATGTTGTTGAACATTGTTGTTTCATTATTTTATATTCGCATCTATTTGTTTCACCTGCTTGTATGTCCATTAAAGCTAAATGTTTATGTTTACCTGTCTTTGTTCATCTTTTTGTCCTTGTTTTCGGCTTTCCGTTTATTTCTGTCTTCCTGTAAATTGTTCTGTGTGCAACACTGAGAGCAAGTTAAAACTAGAGTTATATTCCTTGCATGTGTTCACATACTTGGTCAATGAAGCTGATTCTACAGTGGCCAGCACCTTACGGGAAATTACTCTCATTTTTTTCAAAATGAAACTATATATTTGTGAGCTGCTTTTAAGGATTTGCATCTCCAGTGTAGGAGCCAATGGGCTTCAGGCTGAGAGCCGCAGACAGGAAATCAAGCATTGAGAGACAAACTAACACACTGTTGTTGTTGTTTTTTTTGTGGGATTTGAAAAATTATTATAGCATAGTTTATCCTATAATATTGATCTGTTATAGCAGAGTTTGTGTGCATAATTGGAATGGTGACTTAAGATGTTTCTGAGCACATAAAAATATAGCATCACTCAGTATGGTAATGCTGTGACAAGACTCGCTAATGGAATTCAGACTGGCTCAGATTACAGACAAATTATCACTCAACTATACTGTTCTGTACAGACATTTGAAACTGAATGTTGGAAAACTGAATATCCGTCCGTGCAAACTAAAAAAAGGTAAAAGGCATAAAAACTTGAATGTAATGTCTGTGATATCACTTTTTGGCAGCCCGTCCTCACCAGAAAAACAGGAGCTTATTATGACCCATATTTATGTATAAAGAGCAATAATGTCTGTGTAAGGAGGTGATTGGACAGGTTGAACTCAGGACTTTCACTCAGGAGACTAAGGTTTGAGCCCTGTGTACACAAAAGTTAAATAACTTCCGTAGATGACTTTCGCCACATGACTCACGTAATGTACTTTTTACTAACAAAAATCTCACACTTTCACAACGTTTACCATGTGTTAAATTGTCATGGGACTTACATAGCGTCGGCCTTCTTAACGTCTAGTAGCTTGTCTCTGGACTGTTATTTGCCATGGCTCTTACACATCTGTGTATTTTTCAAAGGTCATATATGTTGTTGTACTTGAATTTACTCTACAATCTACCTATTTAGTTGTTTAAGTATGAGGACGTGTTGGATTTTTAATGGTTGCTTTTGGTGCCTGGGTTTTCGTTTACTGTTTGATGTTATCTTGGTGGTTATTGAAGTTTAAAAATCACATTTTGGGCATGTAGAGACTTGATGTCCCGCGCCCTTTTAAAGCCAGCCTTTGTTCCGCTCTGCTTAATTAAACAAGCTTCTTTCCTTTTGACGGTTTCTTCAATCGTTCTTTCAAAAAAGCTGAAAAAATGGGGGGATGGATTTTCTCAGCAGACAGTAAAACACAAGCATCTAGTCAATTTAACCAAGTATTCTGTCAACAACATGAATCATGGGAGATGTAGTTATGAATGCTGTCTGCAAATGAATCCTCGATTACATGTACACAAGCAGGGTGTGAGTGCCACCCTGTGTCAGTCACGTTATATTATACTGAAAGACTTATTAGGTGCCTAAATCACTGATTGACAGACTAACAGGCTAACTGACAAACTACTTCCTGGTTGGCTGCTCAGCTGACTTGTTAATTATGTGTCTTGTGCGTGTGTGCGTGTGTGTGTTCGTGTGTGTGTTCGTGTGTGTGTGTGTGTGTGTGTGTGTGTGTGTGTTTGGTTGTCTTTGTATTTGACTTGCTTATCATATGAATGTGGATGGTTTGCAGGGGTCACTAGTTGACTAAGTGAGCTGTTAAACACAGTGTTGGAATGAGCAGGCCGTGTGTGTGTTTGTTTTTACACTGTCTCCTCAAACAGAGCACATGCACATACTGTGCTAGTGTACACACTCTTTCGTGTTTTAGACAGACTTTCAATACACATTATTTAGACGTTATGCATTGTTATTTCTTGTGGACAAAGCTTGTTTGCAGTCTCTGGTCATGTTCAGGCTCACCAACCCTGTTGCCAGATAAGAACATTAATATTTGTCAATTCTTCAAAACTGCAGATTACATCCAGAGGCCAATGTTTCCAAGATTGTGGCTTTTCACAATATCTGCACACAGCAACTTCAACATGGTTAAAGTCAGAGAAGGATTTCTGTGATATTACTGCAAATAAAATATGGTAAAGTTTGGTCATAAACCAACTTTGGATTGACGACCAAAGGAAAGAGAGTCAAAGACATAAAATGAGACAGCGATGTCTCCAGAGTTCAGCGGAGTTTTAAAGGAAAATACTGCTTACAGTTGTCAGTGGTTGATTGTCAGTATTTTGAAGATTTAGTCAGAAGCGTGGCTGTAGGGATGTCGGTTGTTCCACCACTTTGGTCCAGACTTAGATATCTCAGATTAGTATTTGTTGGATTGCCACAAACGTTTGTGCAAACGTTCATGGTCCCCAGACTGGATGTTGGATGGATTGGTATGAAATTTGAAACAGAGTCCAGCGTCCCCAGAGGATGAATCCTCTAACTTTTCATTTAGCGCCACCAGCAGGTCAGAATTCCAGTTTGTCCAATACTTTCATAAGGTTTATGACCAAATACCTGCAAAACTAACAACATTCCCATCAGCCTGAGCTGTATGTTGTGTTCATTGCTAATTAGCTAACGTTAGCATGCTAAACTGAGATGGTGATTATATCTGTTTAACATTAGCATTTGTCACAATCGTGGTATGAGTCTGTCTGTAGCCATGTTTCCATCTGATTGTCATGCAAATTTTAAGCGGGCTTTTGAAATGTCACAAAAAAAGGGAGGGGGGAAAAAGAAAATGAGAAATATGTGCGTTTTCATCAGCTGGTTTGGAGCGAATACACCAGGGCCGAGTTCAGCGCAGACAGAACGTAGCAAAACGTCTTTTTCAACGGAAATGGTGGTTCCCTGAACACCCTGCCCTTTTAACACTGTTGTGTTTACAAATTTGTCGCTGCTGATAGGGTAACACCTGTGATACGCCCACCAAACGGGAGAAAACATACCTCGAAGCCCGTTGCAGAACGTTACGCAACGTTGCAAGGAAACATGTCGTTCGATCCGAAAATGTTGCAAACCGGAGCAAAACGTTTTGAGATTGAACTCGCCCAAGGCTACAGCAAGTGTAGTTACGTC